ATGTTTTTATATTTTTAAATTCTTCTAAAAATGAATATAAAGTTTATTACAAAAGATAATATATAAATATTATATCTGATCCATACTTAGGTGTTTATGAAAACAGTACTTTTTAAAATATTTTTATATTTATAAGAGTATCAAAAATTTTTTTATTCCAAGTTCATTTATATATTATTACGAAATTTACGTTCTCGCTAGTTATTACTAATTTTCACTACAACATTTTATATATATATATATATATATATATATATATATATATATATATATATATATATATATATATATATATATATATATATAAATATATATGTATATATATATGTATTTATGATTAATTTTTAACTCTATACAAATTAGGATAGCATTCGTCGTCTATTAAGGTAATAATGCTTTTATCGAGCAGACTTTTAAATTCGCTGATAAGAATATGTGGTTCAGAATTTTGAAATGTTAAATCCAAATACTTTGATGTTTTGAATTTTTTATGCCTTCTAAAACCTCTTCGAGAAATGCACTTTTTGTGCAAGAAAATGTGCTTTCAACAGGTTCATTAGACAAATCCGACACCAAGGCGTCTAAATCTTTATTAAATATTTCCGTCTGCAAAAAGAAAATCATTTTCCTAAGAAAAAAATTAATGTTTCAATATCAAGTTCACCATTGAACTCTTTATCCGTTTCCATACTTTGTGCATGTTGTTTTACGTAAGAGTCATATTGTAAAACGAGTTCAATTTAATATAATTAATATATTATATGCAAATATGCAATAAACACAAGAAAGATATTGTAGATCACAGCTAGTAGTAGAACAGTTGCTCGAGTCCGTTGATGTTTGATAGGTTACTCCAAGAGAGCGAGACTTTGACAAGCACGCTATTTATACATATTCCCAAGGGGGACATTAATTGTTTAGTATAATCAGCCAATCCAAATAATTTACGTTTACGATAACTTGATTAGCGCAACAGTGCACTATGTTCCTGACCGTTCAACAGTTTATAAGTGTTTTTAATGAATATTAAAAAAATCACTTAATACGGCCCGAGTGACCAGACTATCTTTTTCTTAATAATAATAGCAAAAAAAAGTTTTTTGCTTTTTTTATCGATTGTGCGATTTTTCTATCCGATTTTGTAACTTGGTATAATTTTTTCAAATTAAGTTTCCATTAATCCCAGGGGCGGATCCAGGAATAATTTTGACTGTAGCAGAAAAAAAAAAAAAAAAAAAAAGGTCCTTAAATCCAGAGTACTGACACTCTTGACTCTCCGTTACCAAGGAAGGGAGGGGGAAATGCGCCCGAATCCCGAATACGAGGAGGGGGACAAATATAAGGGGGAGGGGGCAGTAGCAGATTACATCTTTATTTTATATGCTTATACAATATGCTTATACCTTGGTGAGAAATAAACAAAACACATTTTCGGTACAATTACTATGTCGATAATTTTTAAAGCCTGTTTACACTTTTTGTTTTTATCGGAGACTCAAAAATTGTTTTCAAATTTTTAAGGCCGATTTTTGCAGATTTTAGGTTTGAGATATAAATGGTTTGTTGATAACAAATAAAAGGAATAAATGGAGGGGAGGGGGGGGGGAGGTCTTAATAAGCTTAGTGTGATGGGGAAAAATATCGGAAATTAATATACAATAGGGGGGGGGGGGCGCTTATTAGGGACTCGAGTTATCAAGATAATGTTAAATGTGGGTGAATCTTATGATAATTTACCATCCAAAAATGATGGTTAACTATCTTCTCAAAATCAAATACCATTAATAAAATAGCAATACCATGACAATTAACGATTGCAAGTTATTCTTACCTTAATTGTGTTCAACATCCAAAACTGTTGGCTAATGATCAATAAAGTAAAGTTCATATCATGAAAATTTACTAAATTCAAACCATATTTCAACAGTATTCAAACTAAAACAAAATAATGGCAAAGATAGAACTACAAAAATATATAGAAAAAAAAATGTCATAAGAGGTAAAAAACTATAACTATTTTTTAACAAAACCTCATAACATAAAGTTAATAATAAATATGAAATATTTATGACATCAAAAAAATATCCTCTTTAAATATTCCATCAGTAATAAATAAAAGTATCCTATACTATATATCTATCAATTTATATACATATTTATATACCCTATATGTATCTGTAATCAGTATAACTTTATAACAAGTATATCTATTCATCAGAGTTCAATATATTTTTAAACTCCATTCTTCGTGGAAATGCAGTCGCAAATTCATCTACAACAATATTTAAGTCAATTTCAACATCTCGATGAATGTGCAACATGGAAATGCCATTTAGGCGATCATCTGTCATAGAATTGCGCAAGGAAGTTTTAATTCTTTTCAGAGCTGATAATGATCTTTCACAAGTACATGTTGTAACTGGTACTGTGCAAAGGATTCGAAGTATAGTAGAAATATTTGGAAACGTATTGCCATCACATTTTTGTAGTGAATCTGAAATAGTTTTAGGAGCTGTTTCAGAGTGATTTTTCCAATATACTTCCCACATATCCAATTCAGCATAAAGATAACTTGGTTCTGGTAAATCATTATTGTATATATGAGCAAATTCTTTTACTTTTTTCCTCCACTTCTTGTCAGAGATTAAATTTGATGGTATGATGACGAAACTATCTAGCAATGTTAAATTTTCTAAAGAAAATAAAGAATCTAACTGTGTTAGAATGTGATCAAGAAAAGGAATCGAACAAGTTACTCGATAATATTCACTAATATCATCTACTTGATGATTATCACGTTGTGTTTGTTGTCCACATGTTCTTGGTTTAGATGGCAAGGTATAATTAGTTGCAGCTATGGTAATAGCCTCTTTATACCATTCTGAGTGTGAAATTTCAATAGAGCTCCGAATAGATAAAAGAGTGTTTTTTAAAATTTCCACATCATCACGAGCTTTTGAGAAGTCTTGATCAACTTTTTGCAACGTTTTTGTCAGTGGTCTCGTATACCCTAATAACTTCCTGACTATGATTAAGGTGATGATAAACTTAAACGAACAACATATTGTCACATATGCAGAAGCATCACCTCTGGATTTGTAGTTCCATGTCTCATCTTCTTTAATACAAGTAAGAGATGCAATTATAGCTGGATATAATTCAATAAAAGCTTCAAGACCATCAATTCTTTCAATCCACCTGGTTCTACAAACATTTATTTCTTTTGAAAGGATGATTTCGGACATAGCTCAACAATTTTTGTAGATAGATCTTCTAACCTCTTTGGAGAATTATTAAAAAAATCAGAGACAATCCTAACATGATCCATCATATCTCGAATTGAAAGAATTGCACATGCTTTGGCAACACACAGATTAAGTTGATGGGAATAGCAGTGGATGTATGGAGCATTTTTTTAATCTTTTAAAATTAATGCTGCTACACCACAAAGACGCCCTGCCATGTTACCAGCCCCATCGTAACCTTGCCCACGACAACAAGACATTTCCAGACCAAGTTTATGTATACTTTTCTTGATCTTAGATGATAACAAAACTCCAGTCAACCCACTATTGCAGGAAACAAATTTTAAAAAATCTTCCTTTACTTTGCAGCATTCATCCACATACCGAACAACTACAGCCATTTGTTCAGTTTGACTAACATCTGAAGCTTCATCTGCTAAAATAGAAAAAAATTTTGCTTTCTTTATTCTGTTTGTCAATAGCGATCGAACAACACCTGCACAAATATCAATCAACTCATTCTGCACTGTCTTTGATCGATAAGTGGCATTTTTAGGACCATTTTTAAAATGGTCACTCAAGATCTTGTCACCGCATAACGCCATCAGATCTAATAAGCATTGGAAATTACCAGCATTATTACATTGCAAAGCAAGATGTTTAGCATCTCGATGTCCTCTAAGTGATATATTCTGCCTACAACAAAAAAGGATTGCACGTGATATTGAAAACAAAATTTGCCGATTTCTAGAAATATTGTCAGAAATTTATTGAGTTGCAAATTAATTGGAACGGTTTTTTTTACTAATTACTGCTTGGAAATCAAGCATTATTTGTATGGAGGTTTTATGCATTGGTGAAGTGTTATTATGTGATATTATTCTTACATTTCCAACTGACCAAAACCAAAACGGATATTCATGAAATAATTGACTAGTTGAAGAAGCCTTTCCAAACAGAACACAAGATATACAGAATAACCCATCATAGTACTTTGAGTAACAGAGCCATGAAAATTTTTTGAACCAAGCAGGGTTACATTTACAACCATTAGTTTTAGGAAAAACATAGTTAGAAGGTGGTATTCATACGTTCAATAGAATATTACGCTTCTCTTGGTTTGATAATTTCCCTACTTTGTCTACAAACAAGCCAATATCAAATTTGTTGCAACCATCTTCTGTTGTTGCATTTTCACAATTTACATTTAATTTTGGAATTCCGACTCCTGATATTGGTTTTTCAAATTTATTACTTAAAGCCGAAGACGAACTGGATACTGGCAAAGGTTTATTGTTCACAGAAAAAAAATTCTTAATACTCAATGATGGTTTGGTTAAATTAATTTTTTGAACAGCAGAACAAGGTATTTGAAGAAGTGAATTATTTGAAGGGCGTTTTTCACCAGTTACAACAATATTTTTTGAAGAATTTAAACTTGTTTGGGTACGAACTAAAATATTTCGAAACTCTGGCTGAGTGCTTATAATAGATACTAGAGGGACAAATAGATTAGGCTTGAAATAATGCATTTTTCCCATATGTGTAAGATTGTCTGGAATTTCTTTCTTTGATTCAACATTGTAAAGCAATAAGTAAATTATTTGATAGGGTTCATCAAATTTCTTAAAAGTCTGTGGGTACAATGTACTTCTAAATAAATATTCTAAACATGCATCTCCTGTAGTAGGATAAAAGAGTTTTAATGGAATCTGAAATAGAAAAAAAAAATAGAAAAATAATAATATCTATATAATAAATAAAACAATAAAATTCAAATCAGTTTAAATGTTAATTTTATACAAATGAGAATATACTTTTAAAACATTTGAGATTGACATCACACAAACTAAAGATGACCAAACACCAGATTGAGAAATATTTAATGCTTCAGTCAAAATAGCATCAACTTTAGACTTTTTAGCTTCAAATGCAGTACATGCAATATTGGATATTCCTAACAAGAAAGCGGATCTTTCTGATCGAAAAACACCACTTAAATGCCCCAGACGAAAAACAGGATGCACAGCAAAAAAATTTGCATTCTTGTATAACTCGATTTTTCACAAAGCTTCCTAAGAGTTGTTGCTAGCATATTGTTTCCGATTAAAGCAATGGAGACAGCAGAAAATAAACAATTGCCATCTTGAGGAGTTCTGGACATAAGAATAAATTTATATGCAAATACACCCACATACACGCACACAAACATACACACGTCCACACACACACACACACACACACACACACACACACACACACACACACACACACACACACACACACACACACACACACACACACACACACATTTTTTGACTATAAATCAAGAAGTTCTTTTGATAGAGCAAATCTAGCACTAACTAAAAATTCTAAATATCTATTCATCCATTGCGTTAGTCAGCTGGACACCAAAAAAACTATAACAAAGATTTTACCTGACAGGCACCATTGAACATGTTTCTTCGTTTATAAGTTTATCAGCATACAATCTAGCCAAACTATTACTTGCTGCAACATCCATAAAACCATCGGCTCCACCATCAGAGTTTTTCTGGGAGCGCTTGTTTAATTTGGCAGTGTTACTTAACTTAATCTGATCAATTAAAGAATGGTTGTTTGCTTTTAACGCTTGATAGAGCTCCATTGCACTCATTAAAAAAATTAATTAACGCAGATTTTTTGATTTAGCAAAGCAGATTTTTGTTTTTTTGCTACACTTGCTACAGGTTCTCGCTTGATGACCTTTAGTCCTAACATAAAACCTCCTTGTTAATAAAAAGATTGCATATAAATAGCCATAATTTTTATAAAGTATCAGGGGGTATGTATAGAGTAGTTTGAAATAATGACCACCTGACTTTTGCTACAGTTGCTACAGTCAATTTGCCATTTTATTTAACTCCCAGTCCATTTTAAGTTGATACGCTGCGAAATGTTTGACATTCTTTCAAAAATATTTGAGCATGTGAGACAAAACCCAAAAAACTTGGGTTTTTTATTATATTTCTGAATGCAATATTTCCGTAAGATAGTCAACTTGGCTCAGCTACAATTATAAATAAATTTTCGGAGCGCCGCGGCCAATTATTTTTCCGTTGGCAGTATCTTTTTTAACCTTGGGCAGTATCGCATTAAGTAGAGATTAAAATTCGGTTACGGAAAAATAATTGGCAGCGCCGCGTCTTCACTACTTGCAACCTATCTTGTTAAAATTATATTCTTCTTTTGCATGAAAAAAAGAATGTATATATCAAATATTAAAAAAAAGAAAAACGACAACTAAGCTGGTTGTAGCAATTGCTACACTTGCTACAGCCTAGATCCGCCCTATTATTTAGCAAGAAAGTTATTTTGAAAAAACAACCTAATTTCATTTCAGAACCTTACACTTGTTACTCCCATATATAAATTATATACAACACAAAAAATGTTTGAGAATACTGCTTATTAGTTGTTATAGCTAGGCCAGATAATTTGCAACACTCTTAAATTAAAAGGCAATTATAAGCAAGAGCAAATTTAGATATCCTTTGGTAATGTATAATAATAAAAGATTACAAAGCATTGTAGCATATTAGGATATTAGAAAAAATGTATAACCTAATGTCCACAAGTGTGTTTCAATATAGTATACTGATTACCAAAAGGAATAACTCTCAACTTACCACACCTTTATGAAAAACTAAATGTAAAAAAGGTAGAAACAAGAAAAATTGCAAACATGCAAGTTCATGTTGTTGTTTAATTCAATTTCAAAACTCAATACATGTTTGTTGATAAATAGCTTTTACCCTGAACAAAATTCTGGTTATTGTATTCTATAATGAATATAAAATGTTTATCCTTTAATAGCAACTGATGGTAAATAATATCAAATAAAAGAGCAAACTTTGATAAATTTTATATTTATAATGCTAATAATTTTTTTTACATTTATATACTCCAGAAGAAAAAAAAATGTCTGCTTTAAAAAAATTTAAAAAAAATCTTAAATCAAATGTACTTACAAAATGTATTTACAAATTTAGCCCGGCGTCTGTTGCAGTAAAAGCTTTCAAAAAAAAGACGTTCGTTATACACATTTAGTAAATAAATTTCGAAAAAGTTTTCTTAAAGATCTAAACAAACTTATCATAAAAAAAAGTTCCTAGATTTTCATAGTCCCAATAACCAGATAATTGAGGTCAAAGTTTTGGTTTATATAGAAACCATCATATAGTTTTAATTGGGACGGTTTCTAATCGAAAAATTAAAATGAGTTTCTTTTTTTTCTTATATATGCCTAAATAAATAATTTTGTTTATTATTATTTATAAATAATAACAAATAATAATTTTATTTATTAATATTTATTTGCCAAATAAATAGTAATAAGTGAACAAAATCAAGCGCCGAATCTGGTGCAGCAGGCAGTTCTAATTAAGATATAGTAATTGAACCTTGATCATTAAATCAACCATTCCTAAAAGGACGTGGTGAGTCATTCACTGCTACATGTAGTCGTTTTCTGATAAAAGCTTCATAATTAGCTCTATTAATGTGTAGAACAAGCAAATCTTTATTTTGTTGTAACGGTTCCTTGCTAAATTCAATAGACTAAAGCGGAATTAACTTAATTTTCTTGTTCAGCTCCGCATAAGTCACAGACATATGTTTTAGGTATATTTACTTGTTCATCAGATAATGGTACTGAATCATTTAAGGTTTTAAGAGCATTTAAGTACTCTGCTTTCTTCCTTAGACACACCGAAGCGGAAATAATTTTTTTGAAAAAAAAAGTCCACCAGAAACGGTTTGCATTTTTGAAACCACAATACTTTGAACAGAGTTAAAAGGGAAGATTATGGATTTTTTGTGTTCAAGAAGGCAACTTCTAGAGATAGTGCAAACTTTAAAATTTGTAATATTAATACTGGTATCAAATAAAAATGTTTTACAAAAAATTACAGTGATAGGAGCCTAGGAACAATAAATACCTGAAAATCGGAACCCACTGTCCCAAATGTGGAAAGAAGAAAAAATGAGAATTTTACAAATGAAATTTAGTTAAGTAGAGTTTTTTTATTATTGTCCTCTTCCCTAACAAATATTTAGACATTGAGGCCCTAATTTGAGGTTAACGCAATAAATAACACCTCATAAATAAAATTTTGGAGAAAATTTAAAAATTAATATTTTAAAAACTAACTAAGTTTTATTATTCAATATTTCAACTGTTAATATGTAGTTTATAAATATATTAAAATAATTATTTCAAATACCACATTTAGCAATATTATAAAGTTTTTTTGAAAGATGTTTTATTTGAGTAAGGAAAATTTCTTTATTCATCTTTGAAAAGCCTTATCTAACTCTTGCTTTAAGCTCTTCCAAATTGTCAACTCTCCAATTATTCTTGTACACTAGCCGTTTTAAATCATCCCAAAAGTTTTTAATTGGTCTTGCTTCTGGAACGTTAACTGGGTTTACATCTTTGGGTACAACTTTGATTTTTTTCAATTTTAAAAAGTTGATGACCGACTTTGCAGAAAGTGATTGAGCTAGATCAGGTCAGAAGATGTCTTCAGGCCAGAAGATTATCTTTTTTATAATATTCTGATACTAGAGGAAGTAAAGTTTCTTCTTGTATCTCTTTTAAAGTGTACTGGTTGATTGCCTGCTTACTGTGATGAATATAAAGAGGACTTATTCCACGGGGGCTGATGCAACATGAAACTAAGAGAGTGTCCTCGTACTTTTTACGCAAATTGTATCTTACTTCGTCAGAACAATGAGAAGGATCAGCAGTATAAAACCTATCATTACCGGCTAATCTGCTATTGTTTAAGGTAAAATAGCTTTCATCATCCATAACAAAATCCAAGTTTTAATAATTTTTGTACAACTTACGACATTTAGGACGCATAGCTTTCTTCTGCTGATGGTTACAAATCCGGACGATTTGTTTTTTTGAAAGTTCAAATGTTAGTCATTGTTTTTAATACTTAGGAAATTTAAGTTTGACTACAGTTAAAAAATTGAGCTACTTTTATTTGGGAACACCCTTACTTGTTTTCAAAAAATGCAGCAATCTTTGGAATATTTTCTTTAGTAACTACCTTAGCGATTCGACCACTTCCAACTTTTCTTTTTAGAAATCCATTCACCAATTTTACAATTTTATTGTAAACAGTTGATCTGGATAAACCCCATTCCATAAACTGCTTAGCAGCAAACGCTTTACCTTTTTCTTGATTTTTTTGGAAATAAATTTTCATCATTTTTTTGAGGTCATTTTATTTTCAATATTTAAATAATATTTTTAACTTAATTAAATTAAATTTAAATAGATTATAAAATCCTCTTTCAAATAAGTATAAAGGTTTTTTGGGTGCATGAAATAAATTTCATAATAAATGCAATCAAAATTTGTCCGAAATTTTATTTATAGGGTGTTATAAGATGCATCTAAAAACTTGGATTTTTTGTAAATTTTTACTGGCAGCTTTGTAAGCATTAGAATATGGGAAACGTTAAATCCAATCCGTCAAAGTGCTGTTTAAACAGTTTTTTAAAATTCTAGACCCAATTACGGCATTTACAATGTGATATAAATGTTATCAAATTAATATTAAATGAAAATATTATTAATAATAACATGATTAATAATAAATATTAAATACAAATGTTGTTGACTGTTATTAAAAATCTCAGAGTTCTTTTATTTTAAAGTACAATTATATTTCAATTGGAGATCACATCGGTCAGTAAAATTTAGATAGCACTTTAAAGGATTGGATTTAGTGTTTTCCTTAGAATATAAGCTTTTGAAAATTTTGTCTCCTTTACTATAGGCTTGGCCGGGAAGCGGGAGCAATCGCTCTCGATTGCTGACCACGGAAATAATATTTAGTTGCGAAAAGATGGCCAGATTTTTTAAAACATTTCAAAAAGCAAAAAAAAAATTCGATAAAGGTTAATTGGACCGATGAGAGACAACTACAAAAAAATAAGTTAGGACAGTAAAATATCTTTTAACGCAAAAAAACTTAAAGCAAAACAAATTATGTTTAAAACAAATATTTTCAAAACCTCGCTCTATTATATAATTTTTTTATAAAATTAGGCGACGTTTTTTATTAAAAAGTAACATCTTACGATTGTTTAAAATGGAAACAAATTTTCTTTATTTAACAAAGAGTGTAATATAATTTTCATTTACATACTCTTGTCTTATTTCCAGTGCTCGATTAAGGAAGGTTGGGTTTAGATGGGGATATAGCCCCGAGCCCCGCATTATTAGGGCCCCCAAAAAGTCAAGAAGACTTTTTTGTTGAGTCATTTTTACGCTGTGGCACATACAAAGGCATCCAAAATAAAAGAGCCCCCGGCCCCGAAAAGTCTAACAAGATTCTAATAAATCTAATGCAAGTTTTAGTTTTATCTAAGCTAAATTATTTTATAAATAAAAAGTTAATTTTTTTAATAACTATTTTATGTTTCGCGTAGTTTGAATAGTTTAACAAATTTGAAACAATTCTTCTTAGTAAGATAAACAAATGAAATAATTAAACCATTGAATTACAATAGAAGTTAAATAAACTAGATAGAAATTAACTAAAAAGGTTAAAAATACTTTATGACGAGGAAGCGAACACAATATCGCTGATGATGTTTAGTGAGTGGGCTTTTTAGTTTTAATTAGTATTTTAAGCAGAAAAAAGTATAAAGAGTTTTTAAGAATGGCAACTGA